AATCTTGGTGAAGTAAAGGTCACATTTAGCGCAAATTACAGTAGCAAAACTGAGATAAAGTCATGGCGTGTCTACTTGAAATGACTTAAATTAATCTAACCTTAAAATAATCTCGACCCCCCCCCCAAAAAAAAAAAAAATACCGCCACTGTATCTGATTAGTTCTGAGGATATCCCAATCAAGAGTGTCGAATGCTTTCTGTAGATCAAGGAGGATTCTAGAGCATTTTTCTTTCTTCCCAGATATCGGTGATATGAGTGACTAGTTTTGAGGTTGTAGTAGTGGTGCTGAGGGTCTTCCTGAAGCCATGTTGGCATACGGAGAGGAGGTTGTTGGACTCCAGGTGCGTGATAATTTGGTTGTATATTGCTCTCTCTAGAAGTTTGGAGATAACCGGCAGATTAGAAATGGGCCTGTAATTGTTTGGGTCTCTAGCTTCACCTTTCTTATATATCGGATAAATTTTAGCCATTTTAAGTTTTTTTGGGAATTTTGGCCTGTAATATTGACTCATTTATTCTAATTGATTTCCTAAATTCTTCCTGGCAAAACTTCAACATTTTGCCTGTTATTGTGTCAAAGCCTGATGAATTATTTGCCTTTAGGCTCTTGAAGAGATTGTCCAGTTCTTTTTCAATTATGGGCTGAAAGGAATGCAATGCTGGTATTTCATTGGTGTGGTCAGGTATTTGTGTTACATCTGAAGTTCTATCCAGGTTTGGAGTGGAGAGGGCAAATTGTTTGTTAAAAATATTACGGATGTGGTAATGATTGGAGATGGTTTCGTTGTCAATATAAAGGGTAATGTTGATCTTTCTTGCAGTTGTTTTATTGGGTTTTGTATTGATGATATTCCAGATTTTTTTGCTCTTATTATCAGCATTATGTATTCTGTTTTGATTTTGCATTTTTCTATTATTTATGATATCACGAACATATTCTGCCTTGTGCTGTAAAAAAATTACTTTATCCTGGATCAGACCAGTGAGTTGGTATCTATCCTGCGCCTCTTGTAGATTGTCTCTTAGCGTGTAGGTGATGTCATTCCAAAATACTGTAGGCCTATTATTCCTTATTGTTGTTGACATCTTCTTTAGTGTCTTAGGCATGGTGTAACCAATAATAAGTTGAAAAGTTGTTAGAAAATTGTTGTAGGTGTTGTCTATTGTTGTTTCCTTTGTCATACTGCTCTAATCAGTCTTGTGCAATTTATTTTTTAGTCTATTTAAATTTTGTTTTGAATAACTTCGTACAGATTTGTATGTAGCACCAGAGTATTCCAATTTACTATTAATTTCACAGGTTAGTAGGTGATGGTTTGATATCATGTTGTTATGCGCGTTTACTTTGATGTCCGCTCTTTGGATATTTGTTTAGCATCGTTCAATGCTAGTGACTGTAGTAGGCGTGACTCGTGTGGCTAAAAGGGGATAGGCATAGCATCCATGTTGAAGTAATAAGTTGTTGAGTTCTTTTACGTGTGGGTTGGCAGCTCTCAGAATATTAAAATTGGTGTCACCTTTTAAGATGACAATTTTGCTTCTAGTTTTACTATAAGAATGCAGAACATTTTCAAGTTTGTTGAGGAAGCTATCAGTGCTTGAGGCAGGGGATCTGTAGGTGCCTAATAGGATAATATTGTTCTTTTTTATTTTTATTTTGATTGCAATTGTTTCAAATTCCAATTCAGTTGGCCGGCAGAGACCCAGCTCGAATAAGTTTAAGTCTTCTATTTCAGTCCTAAGGTTATTCTTTCTAAATAGCGCTATACTCCCCCCCATATATATTGGGTTCGACAGAAGCTGGCACACAAAGTGTAGCCTCTAATATTTTAATTTACAACAGTTATTTCATCAGCTTTCAGTCCATGCTCCGATATGATTAGATCAGGTGCATGCGTATGGAGCTCAACCATTAGACTGTCAATTTTGTTTAGGAGACCTCTTTGTATGTTTAAATGTAATATTTTGAGATTGTCTGTTGTTTGGGTCTATTCTGGTTTTCTATTGTAATAGGGTGGTGGTGGGGTAGTGGACTGTTGGTTTGGTAACCACGCCAAGAGAAGAGGTTCCACGTGGGTTCTGTGGATGTCCAGATCTCCCCTTGTCTCCGTTGTCAGACGACCTTGTGGTTGATCACTGGTCCTCGATGACGACCGCCATGGAACCTCTTCTCTCTGCGTGGATTGAGTTGGTGAAGTCGTTTAGCCTTGGATGTATCATTAGGTGGCAGATTGTACAGATCCTAAGATAATAAAGGGGACCTACTCGATCCGGCCCCGTCCTAAGCCTATGAAATCTTCTTCCACACTGTTCAAATCTTTTTCCTCTTGTCCCCTCCTTTTCTGATATACCATAATTCAAATGAAACCCGTCTACAGTGTCCAATCACAGTTGATCCATTTGGCCCTCTATGCTATGATTGGCTGCCACTTTGATCAGCAGTTCACTGTATTGTTGTCTGCTCGTCGGGACCTTGAATTTGACACTTCCCATCGGGACCTTGAATATGACACTTCCTGTCTACTGGCAGTGCCATTCTACATGTCCCTTGTAATTTAAGTTAATACGAGGTGTTAGCCGGTCCTACGTACGGGAATTCAGTAGTCAGTTAAAAGCGTGTACAATTCAGATCAGCTAGTTTACACTTATAAAGACAAAGTTTCTTGCAGTTTTAATGTGAAAAATCATCTTTAAACAAATGTTGTGTGACCAAATATGTTTTTATTCCATCATAGGCCTATACGATATGCATTTTAAATCCGATAATTAAAAAAAAAAAAAAAACAGCAATTCTGCAATTTTTACGATGTGAAAAGCGTTGAAGTGAGATTTTCAGCCGATTCGCACAGACGCACACTGATTATAAGTAGCCTACAGCAGAGAGAGTAATAGCTTTGACTATTAATACAACATTTCTTTATCTTATACAACTTCTGTATCCAATAGTCAATGGTAATAGTCAAATGAGAAGTGTATATAGTCAACGATACCACCTTCCATAGCATACCTGCCTCTTCCATAAATATTATCACCACAATACAACTACTATACACAATTTCCAGTAGGTCTGAATAGAAACGACCTAAAATAAAACGATAATATCCAATAAAATTCATAGTACACATAATTTAACTTTGGTTTCCTAACATCAAAACTAATCGTCACACCTATCCTTTATATCAATTTCACTGCATTAATTGCTAAATAAATAAGTGTAAACAAAGAAAAGTAAAAACAATAACAGTTTGTTTTGAAACAGCTGTTTGGTTCAAATAACATTCATTTGAAAAAAAGAACTGGTCACATGTAGCAGGAATATAAAAAGTAAACACGCTAGTAAAGCTAATGACGTAATTGTCCATGTTTATTATCCATACCGTTATCAGTTCTATCCTTGATAATTACCCACCCTCATTGAATAAATGTACATCGTAATTTCCCATATTAGTTAATTTAAACTACAATATATTCATAGTTTAAATAAAAGTGATATTTTCACGTTTGGGGGCGCTGATATAGGCACCCCCAAACGTAACGACAACTGAACACGATTTCATAAAAGGATGGTTTGTCTAATTGCAGTATCCTAGGTCAATGTTGACGTTGTGTTCAATCTATGTCATCCATTTGTTTATCTTTGTATAAAACCCGGCTGAGGTTGTGGTGGTAATTTAAAATCGTGATTCCGGATTATTCTTGATCTTCTTTTTATGACATCAATATTTCCGGGCATAATCCAAACAAAGTTAAAGCAGACAAACATGAATTGTAAACAAAAAGCTACAATGAAGAATTTAAAACATGTAATTTTTTTTATTTTTCTATTCTTTCCTTGAAAAGTGGAGCAGTAAAATAATTTGCATTTATCCTTTTTTATTAAGGCTCGTGTACAGAGCCTCGATTTGTACTGTGGTTTAATTAATTTTGGTCTAAACTATTTTAAACTGTGGTCTAATTATCTCTACTAATCTTACTTATTTCCTATAATCAATAACAAAATAAGAGTAAATAAAATAACCTCATAGTTCCATAGCTTATATTTAACCAGCTGTTAGTTAAAACAAATTATATTGCTCTAAAACAAATCGAAGATTACAAAGATTGCTTTAAAAAATAATTTGAACATCCTAGTATTTTACTATGTATATATTAAATATTATATGTGTAATTATAAAAAAATACATGTGTATATTTAATTAATCTGTCATCCTCTTACAGAAGAATTGAACGTATCAATGTTTAGCATTACACATAGTATAAATAAGTCAACCCTAAGTATGTCTTTACATTTTTATCCAAATGCTGAATTTGTGACACAAAAGCTGAATGTTTACAGCTGTTATGTTAAGCAAATTATTTTATGCCAAAAGCTAGTTTAGAATCTTAGCTTCGGCTGCTAGACTTAAAAAAAAATTAAAACTTAATTTCTAAAAAAACTGGGACCCTAAACTAAAATTATAACTTCGACATTCCCTAGTTCTCCAAATTATCTTTCTTTCAACACAAAAATCATGAAAATCCGTCGAGTGGTTGATTCAAAATCGTGAAATAAAAAAACACTGTTTCGTTTTAATATTATAGATTTGATTTGCTTGGAATTAATATAAAAGTTTGAAATGGTCCTAATACGAATTTTACAAAATATGAATGAAATATATGAGTAGGCCCTACAAGGAAAGTATAAATATTTTTACACATGACCTCACTTCCAAAAAGTTCTGAAACATGTAGTCAGGGATTTGAAGATGCCCTAACTGTGTCTCTGCAAGGCTTTCGTCTGATCAGCATTACCATGTAAAGTGGTTTTCATTTTGTTGCTCAACAGTCATTTTGAATCCAACAAAGGCACAAAACAGCCTCACAATGTATTCTACACTCATCCTGCATTCCCATTTACAACAATACACGCTGTATACAGCAAGAAGTGTGTTTCTGAAGTAATAAGTGTAGAATAGTATGAATGACATCACTTTTACTAATTTTTATTTTCTTCCCAGGAATACTTGCTCTTGTAGTTGGACATCCTTTAGACACTATAAAAGTGTGGTCACAGACATTACCTGAGAAATCAAGTACTATGAAAATTGTTTCAACTATATACAAACATGAAGGAGTAAGTGATATTGAAGAATATTCTTATAGAGCTTATGCAAATTTGTAATAAATCATTGTATGATTTCAAATTCAACTCATTTCTTGATTCAACCGTTTTGTGCAACCAAGAGTCAAAAATTGTCTTGACAATACAATAAAAATTGCAACAAGATTCACAAAAATAGAACTGTCATTTACAATAATTATTAAAATCTAGTTCAAATCAAGAGAATGACTTTACCTTGATATTAATTTGAACAGTAGCAGCTAAGTTTGAAAAAAAAATGACTGCGGAAATTTCATTGTGCATGTTTACTATAAAATGTTTTAAAAGCATTTGACATAAAATTATTAAGTGTGTTCTCGGCTAAATAAAAGTAGATAGGTACTCAATGTTAATCGTGAAAATTGCTTTCTTATACAATATAAGAATAGCTAGAGTACTGTACTTACCTACCAAGCAAAGTGACATTTATTTATTGTACTCAGGAACTCAGACCACGTTAAAGTGGTTCAATGAAAGTTAGACATATCATATTTCTGTGGAATACATGATAATGCCAATTATTGTTATGAAATCCACAAAAAAATAAGTTTCTTTGTCAGAACTTCTATAGTGCCATTTTCTTGGGCTATTATAATATACAAATTAAAAGCTTTATATAAATTTATGTTATGGAATCTCTAATTCCAACACAATGTTGATACAATTCTTTTACCAGGTTAAAGGCTATTACAAAGGGATGATGTTTCCACTACTGTCGGCAGGGGCATTAAACTCAATTTTTTTTGGAGTGTATGGGAATACATTGCGAGAACTACAAAGTCTGCGTGGAGTGGAGCAAACAATGAGCTGGTTCCAGGAGAGACCCTACCCTCAGTGGTATTGGGATATCATGTATGCTGGCTGTCTCGGAGGCTTTGCCTGCTCCGTTGTCAACTGTCCTGTTGAACTCATCAAAACACAAATGCAGACTCAGACAGGTAAACAATCATTAGAGATTTTATGGTTTCTATAACAGAGAGCTTGCAATATTAAAGCCATATTTGCTGGACCGCAAACAAATAGTAGAGGTAGATGACATACGTTCTCAAGTTGCTTGTGTGAATTAAGCTAAAGGAGAACAATGTAGCAAAGGTTTTATTGATGTCAACATGCGTGAATAAAAATCTTCAAAAATTGCAAGGTTACAGTGATATGACAAGCTTACAATGTTATTGCATTTTAACGTATATTTAGAGAACCCTTAAACAATTTATCAATCATACAAGTTTTGAACATTCGTGACTTTTTGTCATGTTGTTGACTTTTCTGATTTCGGAATTTTTATCGCTTTAGATATCCACAAAGTTTGTGTCTGGATTTCTAGTTTCATGCGATATTGCGATATTTACGAACTCACGGTGAGGAATGTGTGGTTTGTCAACTGCTAACCATTCTTGCTACTTGAGCTATTTTAGAAATAGCAATAAACATAGTTAGTAGAAAGAAAATTTATCTAAACAGATCATCATTTGTTTTCAGACTACGTATTATTTTGTCACATTATTGGTATTTTGTAAGTGCCGTTTGCAATAGAGCTTTGAAGAAAACTTTTTCAATAGCATACAAAAGATAGATTTGGATTGTTTTGTATATCAAATCTTTCAACTAATGACTTTATAAAATAAATATATAAGTAAGAACACATAGTTTTATCAAAATGCGGAACCTTAGGTATAAATAAATTAAAGAGGTTATCTTTACCACGTAAAATAAAAACAATATTTAGATTGGAAATTGGAAGTCAGTCACACTCTCGCAATCACATGAAAGTGGATCTGACCCGAGTGACCCGGCACCCCAATAACTGGAATGGTCTGTTTTTTAAAGGAAAATCTAAGAAATTTCAAATGAAGTCCATTTGGAAAAACGTGTGCGGTGTTTACGGGACATCCTTCTATTCTATTCGCTCATATTTCTTTTACCTTTCCAAGTACTGACTCTTCCAAGTAGGTAAACTTTTCTTGTTTGGCATTGTAGTTTTCGAATGTAGCTACTTTTGACATTGTAGACTGAGAGCGCTCTTCTCTGGTCTTTCAAATTGATGTAACAATCGTTTGAATTTGAGCTTGAAATACGTTTGACATCTGCATCTCATTTTTTCGGCGCGTGAGCATTCCATGCCCTAAGTTTCCGCATGCTATGGGAAGAAGCCAGTATATTGGTCGACACCTGTGATCGCAGAACTCCGAAGGCGTTTCTTTGGGCTCCGACAAGCAGAGCTGGGAGCCAGAAACCAGCCTGAAGCTAATGCCAGATCGGCAGAGCACAAGGCCGTAAGCAAGACCTCCCTGACATGTAGTGTTGGAGCTGCCTCCAGGTGCATGGTGATCTTGGCGAGTGCCCTTTCATCTCTGTCCTGATCCACAGTTAGCGGGTTGGGTCTGTAGTAGTCCTTCGTGGTTCGATGCAATTTCACAATCCATCATACTTAAGAGCCATCTTCATATCAAATTTCCAACTTGCATAGTTGGCTGACCCTTTTAACTTAGAATTCCAGGGGCTGATGTGGAGTATACAACTTTGTCTCCCATCATAGTAATTAATAGTAAATTAAGTGTTCATTCAATGAAATTTACTATTTTTTAAACACTTCCCTTAAAATTTTTCAAAATATGCCACAGAGAACATGTATTACAATAAAAGCGAAACTGGTCCAATAACCACTTGTTTATAATTGATTCTTTTATGATAATTAGGAATAAAATGGCAACACAGTGTGTTTCTAAAGTCATAGTAAAAGTATGTTTATTTACAACAAAAAAATTAACATGGCAAACACATGACATACAATATCATACATGGCAGCGGTTATAAACTTAAGACCAAGAAGGCAATGAGGTACTACAGAGCTACAGACTACACCTGTGGTCCAATTTTGATGAAATTTGGTATGTAGGTTAGGTACTAATCTATGGTATCCCCAGGCTTTTTTTTCATTTTTTGAAATTTTGATTTTTAATGGTGATTTTTCCATAAAACCTCATAAAATAACTGAAAAATCAGATTTTCTAAAAAACGGCCTGAACAATTTTGATAAAAATTTAATATGTTGTAGCCTCTAAATTATGAACGAAATGGTAGAACTCCCATTCCTGTAAAAAGTACGGTTCAAAAGTTATTATAAATTATGCTATTTTCCTATTTAGAAAAATAAACCATAAAATAAGAAAAAAAATTGTATTTTTGAATAAAAAGCCGGTTTTGATTGAAATTATTTTGTTTGTGATAGTACTTATAATTCTTAACAACATAGTGCAATCCCCATTGCTGTAAAAATTAGGGTTCAAAAGTTATTATAAAACTTTGTTATTCTCCCATACAAACCTATGAAAAAAGGATTATAATAAAACCGATTCTGATTGAAATTTGTTTGTATATCGTCCTTAAAATTCTAAAGAAAATAGTGCAGCACCCCCCCAAATTGCTGATACCATTTATTTTGTATAACTCATTTGATTTAGAACAAAGAGAAGTGAAGGTGTTTGAACGATCGCACAAGTTCAGGAATCCTTGGGAATGTTTTGTCTACCAATATAAAATGAAAGGCATCCCTGGTGTCTACAAGGGCTGGATACCTCTGCTTTGGCGGTGAGAAATTAACTAACTTTTGTATTTTTAATGATGTTTTTTTGTTTTAGTCATTCAGTTTTTATGTAACTCAAACATATATTTGTTTATAAGCCTATTAAACCTTAAACTCAAACTTACCACAGAAATGCTTAAAAGTCTGAGTTAGTTCCTCTCGTAAGTTCTGTATTTAAAGTTGATAGTTATTTATCACTTTATCCTCTCTAGTTGGCTACAATGTTTTTCTTAGTCCTAAATAATTATTTGCTAAGATGTTCACTACACCCAAACTGTCTCCTGACCCTTCGTCTACCTGGGACAGGCCCGGGCCATAAACCCTCCCTCTGCGACCCACAGCTGAATTAAAAATACAATATGTTGAGGTGCATGGGATTGATAGCTAGTTTAAGTAATTTAAAAGAATTTACTTTCCTTATAATCTTTTTTGACATTTTCCCCATGCCAATTGCTTGATTCTGCAGATGGTGGTAAAAGAAGTTGTGATTTTCTGAGTATATAGTAATGTTTGGTTTAAGTCTATATGCTTGTGCTTTTACCTGCATGCTGTTGGGTTCAATGTCCAAGGGAGGTTCCTGCTTGTGGACTTTATATGCTGTCATACAAAGGGTTCCTCTGCCTCCACTCCAGATCCAACCATTTGGAAGTTTGTAGTCAAGCTTTGGGTGGAGCTGTAGCAGGTACAAACTGTTGATTTAGTTTAAAATTAAATTTAAAATGCTTTTGTAATTATTTTAGTCAAAATCATTCAGTGGGGTTCTTTATGTTTGTCAACAGTCAAAAATGTGTAAAATTTCCAATATTAATAGTTTAAACACTATCCAGAATCCTATCTGGTCAAGTGTTACAGTTACAACTTAATATCTATATAATAAATAATATTTTAAAATGCAATAAAAATATGACAAATCCAATCAACTTAATATCTTCCAAAAGCCACCCACACTGGATGGTTTGTTGCCAGTATATGTTGAGGTATTGAGGTGCAATACATGTTGACCTTGTTGGTTGTAGTGATGTAGGATCGTACGGAGTGTACATGGTTGTTTACGTCGACACTTGCAGACGACTTGCCAATGATCAGAGCTGGTGTGTCATGATGGCTGGAGCTAATGCAGGTACTGAAATACGAGGCATGTTTTTGAATTAAGTACTGTTTTTAAATTTCTCCGTTCCAGCGCTGCAATTGGCATTTTGGACGTTTGTGCTGTGTATGTTCATCTATTGGTAAGCCTGCAACGGAAATTCAGGAACAATCGGCCGTGCTTACATCCGGTTTCGAGCATTCAAAATGGTGCCGCCAATTCAATTGAGACTGCTGCCGACTGTGAAGTACACGCTATAATTAGATTTTTAAGTGCAAAAAGTGTGAAAGCCATTGTAAATCATCGACAGATTAGTGAAGTGTAGGGCGAGAACATTATGAGTGACATAATGGTACGCAAGTGGGTTACGACATTTAAATACGGCCCCACCAACGTTCATGATGAGCAACGCACTGAGTACTGGGGAAAGTAATGACGCCGCGCAGTGCGTTGCTCATCATGAACGTTGGTGGGGCCTGCAAATATAATACTGTACTGCAAAAATTGCCATGATACCAATGGTTTTAGTAATACCAGTTCTGGTTTATAGGTTCTTATTAAGGGATAATTTTGTCACAATCATCTGAGATGTTCATGATAGTGCCTCGATCTTTGATTATAGTCTTGATAATTGCTTGTTACTCAAAATGTATGATCTCTGAAGCTAATACATACTGTTTGTTTAGCTAGGGGGTGTTTTTACTGGGAAACAAACAAGACATGCATTGCAACACTACATAATTAGTTGTAATGAGTGTATTAAAATAAATTCTAATTTTAATGTTGTTTAATAGACTCACATCACGCACATTTTTTATCATTCATTAGTAGTTTTACTCAAATTTTAACTGCAATGATCCCTATAATAAGATAAACCTACCATCATAAACAACATACTTTATATTAGGGAAAAAATGTATTTAGTGTAGACTCAGATTTAAATGTAACTCAGACTAAACTATAAATGAGCCGTAGGGATCTATTTAAAACAGAAAATAACCAACAACTGACATTTGAAAAAGCTAAAATCAAATAGAAACCAAACGATCAAAACTGCAATGGACACTCCACTAATACTTAAGGTTTAAAAATCTACTGACTCATCCCATAATTTTGATTTTGTACTACAGCAGAACTTCGATAGTTCAACACTTTGTGGACTTAAGGGGTGTCGAACTATTAACATGTGACTGCGCGCGCCGACTTTAGTCGGCGTCGCCAGAGCTCTCAGGTGGCGCGCGCCGACAAAAGTCGGCACCAGACCAACAGAAATATATTGAGTCAGTGTGAGCTTAGCCTCAGACGGAGACGTTATAATCGTTGCCAGCCTGCCAGCTTAGAATACGAGCTTTACTTTGGTGTAGGTTGGTACTAAAATTTCCCGTAAAATCCTGTCTGGCAATGCTTTTGTCCCGGTTTTGGGGATTTTTTCTCTTCAACCCACATTACAAAGACACTGGATACGGATCCGTGCAGTGCTGCTACCTTTGGGTGTTTCAGTGAACTACATCCACTCTCAGGGTAACGCAGCACAGTCACCACTGCTCTTTTGTGATTCGTCAGACTAAAATATTTGAATGCCAATTGCGTTCACTGATTCGGTTGCGCGCCGGGGCTTCGCCCGCCACTGGGGAGCGCCTGTAAAGTCGGCGCGTCAACTATAAAAAACGTCAACGTGTTAAAATGTCAAACTATAGGGAGTAAATGGAGTTTAATATACAGGAAAGTAAAAATACAAGTTTTATATAGAAATCACCCAAATTCATTAAATACTAAAAAGCTTAACAATTTCACTGTTCGTTAGTCTCAAGTCAACAATAAATGACAAATTAACACTTTCGCTACGGGCGTTGTATTTCTACAACGTGCCTACCGCGCGCCAGGAGCTAGCGTTGTAAAAGTATAACGCTGTGTCGTTGTTAGTAAAAGGGACCAGTGTGAGACTAGCAGTCGAGCGATGTACTAGCAGCTTTTATCGCTCCCGTAGCTAAGAATGCGAGCTTTATTTTAGTTTAGGTTGGTAGTAAAATTTCCCGTGAAATCCCGCCTGGCAATGCTTTTGTCCCAGTTTCGGGGATTTTCTCTAATCGAGCCATGTTACAAAGACTCTCAGGTTATTGATCCAGGCAGTGCTGCTACCTTTGGTCGTTTCAGTGAACTACGTCCACTCTCGAAGTGACACAGTACACTCACCACTGCTCTTTGGTGATTCATCTTACTGATATATTTCAATGCCAATAGCGATCGCTGATTCAGTAGCCCACCGGGGCTCTGCCCAGGCCTCGCCACAGTTTAGGAGCACCCATGTAAATATTTTTAGCAGCGAACGTGTTAATGTTCAAGTCAACTTACATCACAATAGTAACCATTAAATATCACTTCTTTGATCTTTGATTGTTTTTCACTCTGATAACTGGAAAGAACTAGTCCCGGTCATTGACCGGCGTACGTGTCAACACAAAATATCGATCGCTAATGTTTAGACGGGTAGCCTCAGCCCGTGTCGAACTACAAGGAGTGTCGAACTATCGAGTGTCGAACTATTGAAGGTAGGTAACATTTATTTATACAAACAAAATCTATGTTTTACATTCATAGGGCAATCAAATTTTACCATGTTTACAAGCACTATCCATGTGAAGCATGTTTGTCCGGTACATCAAGGGGGGAGAACCCTGCTAACATGGTGGCAGAACTTTCCTTATTCAACAATATGCAACCAGCCACTGGCACTAGGACACTTATATATTTTCTAGTTCTGTACCCAGCCAGAGTTTAGAGGTTTTAAAATTAGCTCTGCAAGTAAAAATCCCGTAAGTTGTGACAAGTATACTTAAGGAAGTGAAAGCTGAATGAAGCAACCATGCATTGGGGTTTTCTTTGTCAACTCGAGTCCAAACCTGGTATATCCTACCTGACAGCTCCAGGATAGGTAGTTTAAAAAAATCTTGCATGTCACAGTAAATGGCTTAATGCTGAGTAAATCAGCATCTGAATAAAATAGCCTTTAAGTTTACCTTCAAAAGGTGTGTAGTAAAAATAGATTTTCAAATGTGCATATCTTTTATTCATAAATGTCTGATACTTTTAAGAGAGCCCTTGTATATTGAATACGATTAATTTAGCCTTTTTAAATAGTTAACCATGATTCAAAACATAAAACAGTAAAACATTGAGAATTTACAAGTATCTTTTACAATTTTGATTGAATTTTTGTCAGGAAATTGGTAACAAATTTCTGACTCTGTTAACTCCTACCCAGTGGCGGATTTACCATAAGGCACACTAGGCACGTGCCTAGGGGTGCCAGCTGTTGAAGGGCCCGCCGTTGAAGGGCGCCTGGCCGCGGCAGGCAGCAGGTAACGTGACGGGCGGCGCGACTACGGGCGGCGTGCGTGGCGGCGGGCGCCAGGTGATTATCGATCGGTGAAGATGACTCACGTTCATGTCCCGACGTGCAGATGCAGACATATAGACTGCGAGTAGCAGTAGCGAGCACTATACTAGTATACTAGATACTCAGAGCAACGAGTCGGCTCACCGGAGCAACAGTCGTGGTGGGGAGCTGGGAGGAACGATGACGTCATATTACTTAATTCAAACCTTCACAGTGGGTAGCGCCATGGTGGAAGTAAATATTTACTTCCACCATGGGTAGCGCTCTTAGCGGGAACGATGACATCATCACTTACTTCCAGCTTTACGCTTTACTGATTTCTCTATCAGTCTAAAATAATTTATTGGTATCTTCTATGATTTAATTACATTTATGGATTAAAACTTTATTTTCTGAAGGAGGTATGAGCTCATCATGGTCATAGGATAGCTGTAATCTGTATGTTATAAAAGGTGATGTGACACTAAACTTGGCTCTCGGTTGGTAAACCAGTTGGCCTACAGATATCATAGAATTCATTA